GTTCCGGCCAAAGTAACAGTTCATTATCGGCATGACTGGATCACATGTCCGAAATGTTGCTTCGATGATAAATCTGTTTGTAGAGCGTAATCAGGCCTCTCATGACCAAAGAGTTATAGTTCAGCTGTAACACCCTTTCGTTGATTAGTTGTGATACTAGCAGGTTGCCCAAGCCTACACATGAGCAGTCGAGGTGCGGAAGTTTGGTTCGAACCGCGGACCTTCCTGTCAGTAAGTTCTTGCCTTGACCACTGAGGCTTCTCGGCTCAGCAAATTGTTCATATATAATCAACATTATCTTGGCTATCATGAATTGCAACTGCCTGGTTAACTAGTCATGCAGTTATACGGTACTCGCCTTTTGATGTTGGCCAAGATAGTTCGTTGTGTGTGGTTCAAATAAACCTTGTTATGCTGCAGAGCTCTATATGTGGTAGGTCATCTCAGTTTACTGCGGCCCATTTGTTTACGCTTCTTCTAACAGCTTTAACAATTTGTATGTGTTGCTAGATTAGCTCCAGTCTTCAACTTCAGTATCGCTGCCCTTATTGTACTAACCCAGTGTATCGCGGTAGAGAAAATCCCTATCTGGATCTGCTGGCATCGAACCTTCGCGGGTTTCTCGACCTTTGTTTTTGAAGGATTGCTAGAGATGTTCTAATTTTGCAATGATTATGGTTAGGTTGACATCACTCTCACTCTCCGATGGATAAGAAGCCGTCAGTCGGGTTCGTCTGACGGGATTGTAGGACTTTAACTGCGCATCCGTATAACAAAGGAGTGTTCTAATTGACGCTCTCAATCGATAAATTATTCTCGGTTGGTTCGTCTGGTCCCTATTCGAAAGGTCCCAGCTGTTTTTTGCACGAGGCACCGTTATTTATAATCGGACGACTATTAACGCAAAACTGAAAAAAAAAACATTTAGATGTAGCACCCTTTCTGCCATGCCACCCGAAGGAAGTACGAGGACTGGGATACTGTCAGGTTGTCCAATCCTAGACGGAGGAAGGCGAATACTGAAGTATTCGCTCCTGGTTGATCATCCAACTATATTCATTCAAGGTCCATGCAGTCACTCACGTTGATAACGTGTGCGCCGCATTTATTGTGGGTAAGTTCTTCCACTGCGTTTGAGATTTCTGAAGAGTTCAAACGACACAAGGTCTTTGAGCGTTTTATGTATCTTGGAAGTTGTATTAGTTCTGATCGTAGTGTGACAGATCAGAGCATTGCATGAATCTGCAAGGCTTGGGTCGCGTTCACCAAATTGAGACACCTATAGCATCGAAGTGGCATATCTCTAATTTTCAGGAGATTTGTGTGTCAGGCTACAGTGCAGGGTGTTTTGTTGTATGCCTGTGAAACTTGGCCTGTGCCAGCAGCGGAACTGAGACGTCTTCAGATGTTCGGTGACCGTTGTTTCAGAACCAAATCTTGTGTAGGTTGGTGTCGGCAAATCCGTAACGAGCCAATTAAAGGTCTGCTGTTCGGTTGTGCAACGGGTACTTCCATCAAAGAATGTGTTCAGCACAGGAAGCGGTGTTGATTAGGCCATGTACGGTGTTTGCTGAAGAGAGTGCTGTTTTCCGTGCCCAATTCAGAGTGGCTCAAGCAGAGAAATAGCCAGCCTTCGACCTGGCAGATGGGTATGAAAGAGATTACAAAATCTCTGGGCGATGTCGGTGCGACTAAGCTTCCAGGATGGGGACCGCGTGATCTTCAGTGGTTGCATACACTGCACAATATAGCTACTAATCTGTTGATGGTGTTCTTGTTGTCAGTTTTTATCCAGATTGCTTGAATAAGAATCTGGAGCCGTACGCACCACTGAATGATTGTGGTAGGCTAACACTATGCCCCTTCTCGGCCAATTTTCATTCTTCGCTTCACAATGAGGCTTTCAAATAAATCATGGTTGTACGATAGCGGAACATCAATGTTGAACATTGATGTCATGCTGTCGATAACGATGATGATGATGGCATGAGGTGCGTTTGTTTTAGGCAAACCCTCGCAGAACCTTCTAGGAATGTATATCTCTGTCGTTGGATATTTTTTTAAATGAGGAGCTCCATTTACATGAGTCTTTCCCATTGTTGTTTTCTTGCTTTACAGGAGCGATCGTTTAAAGTTTGCGGGGGTTTAGTATGGTGGAACAACTTTATTTGCTTTGGCTGTTTCCCCGTTGGACAGTCCTCTTACGAGGTGAGTGGTCCTCTGGCAAGCCCTGCTTACAACACCTTTGCATACCATAACCATATGCCTTGCTTGTCAAGACCGCTATTCTGTTTGTTGCTATCACAGAAAGCCATGCCAATTCACACATGGAAAAGCATCCAGAGAAGTATCGCTCGAGTTTAATAAGTTTTCGTGGTTGTTATACTGATTCACTGCATGGGAAGCTAGGTTCATCGAAACGGAACATGACCATTTTCCGTTTCTACAGCCTTCGTACTACCCACTCTATTAGGATAAGCAGCGTTCAGCCCGTGAATAACTAACATTTTCTAGACTGTTTGAGTTCATCTCTTCCCTTATGGCTATGCGGAAGCTTTGTCGGGACGCCTTTTATGACCGATTTTGAGCTTTCACCTTTGAGAGCGTTTTTTTTCTTGGGTTTCACCAGGAAATCATGCCTATATACTGTACCACGGCTGGTACATTGTGCATTATTGCTTAGAAATCTCGACGGCGTGCTTACTGCAGTTTTGTGTACTTATTCAGCGGTTTTTTACCTATTGACAACTGCGTCAATCCGTACGGGATTTCATTCACTATAGTTGTGCCAACTCAGTTCTTCGTAGACTTGAAGCTGGCGCACAGGGTCTTGTCTGCCACCACGATTTAATCGTAAAGTAGCAAAGGTACTCCTTTCAACTTTTCTCGTTTGAACGGTGGGTGTGCGGAGCTTTCCCCTTCGAAACGACACGTCAGCACTGACAGTATACGTTACAACCAGTAGGGTAAAACCACATAATCTTGTGAATATTGATGCTTCTTGGTTCCGATTTCTTTAACTGTTGGTTAGTGTTCGGATCGACAAACCATGCTAGTGTAGCTAGTCAATCATCGGTCGACTTTCCTATGCTTAAATTTGGGTGTCATTTTCAAGAATACGACTAATATCAATGAATCAATACTTTTGCGAAGATACTATTAGACGAGCATGTAGCATATCGCCGACTTTATTCCATTTGCTGTTTTCTGCTTGTTTGACATCACTACTTTTGGTCCATTTTGTAGTTACGCACTTACCCATCGTTCGAAAGGCTTGATGACCAATTTGTTTCAACATGCTCTCTAATTGGGTCCGAAGAACCTCTACTCGTGGATACATTTGACAACCTCCTTACTCTGCTGACAACTGATGGGAGGGTACAGGTCTTCCGACTGTCACAAATCGATGTTCCAGCAAAAAGTAAGCGTTTTCGTGTAATTGTTGGTTTGCTATCTACTCCTGTTTTATCCACTCTTTGGTGAAGGATTACGTCTTTGTCTCGACAAGTGAACTGCATGATTTACAAATTATTTTTGCATGTTGAGTGTCTTGAAAGGATCCAGTCCAGATTTTATAAGGTTCTGGGTTTCCTGATGACGGGTGTGCATTTGTCCTTTATTTGTTACTTGGTGGATATTTTGAGATCACCCAACGCGCGCTATGTACCTGACGGTACTTAAATGCATTACCAAATGGAGATACATACACAGCGGTCGTTATTTTCCTGATGACGGGTGTGCATTTGTCCTTCATTTGTTACTTGGTGGCTATTTTGAGATCACCCAACGCGTGCTATATACCTGACGGTACTTAAATGCATTACCCAGTGGAGATACATACACAGCGGTCGTTACTTGGTGGCACAGAGCACATTGTTTCATTGACGTCGAGACTTGTGTACGGTTAAGCGAGTGCACTTTTGGGCCAGTGATTTTTTGTGTTTCGGGCTTCTTCGGGGATGCAGCTGGTTTCGCATTTGAGGGTACACAGGAACCGCCTTTCACACACTGACAGGCAAGTAGACGTAGTCCCGAGTCGCCCAAGTTCCAAGCTATCATCCAAGGTAACATGTGGAGGTAGTATGCGGATATTCAGCGAGTGGCTCATCGTTCAAGCGCAGTAGTCTGTAAAATTCACTACATAAGCTTGTTTGTTACGTGATTCCCCTTGCTGGTGAAGTTCTGCACAGTGAATTTAGTTTTCCTGCTCATTTGGCACTTCTTTCTGCGCCAGATATTCTCAAGTAAACCTTCCGCAATATGTTGCAAGAGAACTAAAGACAGTCTCCTCATTTTTGGATTGAGCAGACGTCCATGAGTCTACCCAGGAAACGAAATGTTTGTAGAATACGACTCTACTACACTCTTTAGGAACCTATTCCAGCATCTTTCCAGTAAGTTTGTCTGTTTGGAAATGAAGAAGCATCACCTAGTCTTTTTGACTTTCCAAATTTGGATGGTTAACTACCAAGATTCTTTGGCTCAAAGCACATTTATGTTCTCATTTCATCAACTGCAATAAGGAACTGGTTTCTAGCTCCACACCAATTTCAGGAATGTAACTGAGGACGTCAGTCGGCGAGTGCGCACTGAATGTGGAAGAGTGCTCTGAAACTGACTGAGCGCCCGACGTACGATACTTTTAATCACGAGGTCATTAGGTTGTAATGGGTCTTTATTGACGCAGCCTTTTTAACTGTTTATGAACATGTAACACCCATGCAAACCAGCATTACCCGACGTGCAACATTCGGTTGAATTAAAATTTATGTATTTCCTTTCCAGAATATCAAGTAACCATCTCAGTAGTACAAGTAATTGATTTGAACAACCTCATACTTCATCCGTCGTGCATTGTACGATTGTGCCTTTCGTCGATTACTGCCAACCTGCGTAAGTTATCCCCTCTGCCATTTGGTGCACTGCATTCCTTTTAATTTTCTTGTCTTTCAAAGTTCGTGTAGTTTGAACCGGACCATTTTTGATCGTATTGATGTAGGTATCTACGCTCTAAGAATCTTATCTGTCGACATGGTATAGAAATCGTTGAACCGAATCCTGGCTAATATCGAATAGGCATCATTTTACTGTTTTTTTGAGCGCTTGGTTGCGTACGTAGAGACTGTTGGGAGATCCCTTCGGTTCATTTTTCTTGCACCACTCCATCATTAGGTGATCCAAAGTCCCCTATTCTCCGTTTCCGTTCTAAAGAAACAAGGTAGGCGAAATCATCGTGCGTTTGGTCCTGTTTAGCTGACTTTGACGGATAAAAACGCTTTATGCGTTTTCATGGATAATGCTCATGTTCATTCCGTCACGAAGAGACTGGACCTTACCGTGGTGTGACGGTTTGCGCACCTCAGCGATCCATTGAGCTATACTGGAGAGTGTCCCGCGACACTCA